TTTTTGTGGGTTCTAATAAAAATTGTTCTTCGATTTCGTTTTTATCTTCTCTTTGTTCATCGTAGAAAGGCGTTGAAGTCTCTAGAAAACAATATGTTAAAAATCTATACAATTATTTTAAAAGGTTCTACCATCTATTCTCTCTTCAACAATTTCTTTTTCGTTAATTCGTGCTTTATTTAGTTCTGTTTGTAGATAGTTTTCGATTGAAATGAGAAAAAGATTTTTGAACGTATGTGTAGTGTAGTAGTCACCATAGTTCATTAGATATGACGCAACTTGAACACCTGAAACTTCTTGTTGTGAAGCAATCATATTGAAGCAGCGTGACACTAGTTTACGCGATTTTTCAACAATATTATCTGTGGTATTAGATGTTCGTTCCTGCTCAATAGATTTGATACCTTGTTGTGCCACCACAAACATATCGTGGAAAACCAGAGTAGATTTTGTTACATAATCAGTTATATAGTAAAGTAATGCTTTAGGGTCGTTACCACTCCAAATGAACTTCATGTCCCTGTTCGATCGACACACACTTAAGAACCATTCGTTGAAGTTATTGATCCACGAGTGCGATCGACGCATGGTTATCTGACCTGTTGTAAGGTCAATATTAGAAACATTCACTAGTGCGCGTGGCATACCCATTCGCCACCTTTTTGAACTATCATTTGTGCCTTTAGAATATTTATAGCAACTTGCAGAATGCTTGTAAATATTGCACGTTTCGACCAATTGAACTACATCTTTGCGAAACGTTTGATCAAAGACTTCCAACGCAGGATTTGGTGTTGAGAGACATGCTGGTATAACTTCACTTGCTATTGGCTCAGTTTCTCCTAAAATGAAGCGAAACTCATCATTAAAGATTCTTAAAAGCTTCAGAGCTCACCATTTAATGTTCTTCTGTCACTGGTTGTACTTGTTCCGTCGTTGGTTTCATCTTATAAAAGAATACTGATATTTAAAAGTACAAAATTTAGAAGTCTCAAATATGTAGTAAGAGTAGATGATTGGAATGAAATATATTTTGGATTAATGAAAATTTTGAAAATGTTCTGAAACCTCAATTCAAGGCAAGGTAGTGATACACTATCAGTGTGTAAAACAGTATCAAGTAGGCAAATATAAAAACTTCAAAACACAAATTCAAACAATGTTAAATATATTACCTCGAAACAAACCAAAATCTTCTTTTATAATATCTTCTAAATATTTTAGTAAATTTTCACGAAAATCTTGATTTTGTATATTTTCTTTCAACTGTGCTGAAGTATATTCATGATTGAGCCAAATCAAGAGATGTAAATAGAGCGATCCTCTTCCTTGACTCTATATAGTGCCGAAATACGCTTTTGTAGGACCGAGCACACCACCGACCACTAGGCTTTTCAGAACGTTTTTTATTAAACAGTTGAAGAACTTTGCAGTTTCAACAGGGTGCGTCGCGACAATTTGAGCACGCTCATAACTTGTACGCAGGACTTCTGGCAGAACGTGATCAAGATCAAGATCGATACCTCCAAAGTAAGGTGCCACTGGACTATGGATGTCAGTTGGATTGATTGTGAGGAAAAGACTAGGAAGACCAAGATAAAAACACAAAGAATGAATTTTCGTCAGAAGAGCTGATCGTGAATGAGCTGAGCCCATGACATGACCACCAATAATTTTGATATGCTTCATCAACGTATTTATTCTCTTGTCAGTAACTTTTGAATAAGGCGCTTTTGAGATATTAATAAGAGCTGCTGTTACATCTTCAGAGCTCAATGAGCTAAGAACTTGTGCAGATTGTTGAAACCACGGTCTTTTTGTCACTAATTGGCATACTATGGGCTATTTAATTTCAGTCTGAATTTATCAAATAAAAATAATACTTGATTTCAAACTGAAACGTGAGTCTAGGAGTGAGGGGGGGAGTGACTGAGGGTGTGGGTGTTGGTCTGGGACCCACACACACACCCACACCCATGGTGCGGGTGTGGGCGCGCGAGTGAGGGTGAGGGTGTGCTTGTGGCTTTGTGTACTATAGGCTTTAGTCCCCTGCACAAGGGACTAAGCGGGGACTAAGCTTTTTGTGGGGGGGACTAAGGGGGACTTTGCAGGACTAGGGGGGACTAAGGGTTTTTAGTGGGACTACGTAGTATCAAACGAGAAAAGTTTGATTCGGAAGAAGTTGGTGCGGTTTTTTTGATTTTAGAATTCAGTTTGAAATAAAAAAGCCCATAGACTCCTAATTGGGCATGAAAACATTCTGTTCGACGTTGTAAAATATTGAAGACAACAAATATGAATGAGTAGTGTTCTTCAAAACGGCGATTTTTTTACGAAAGAAGATATCTGAAGTGCTTACGAAAATTAATTTGGACTGGTCGAGAGCAATCTTCAAATGCACCACATCCATACGGAAAAAGATGTAGGAAAGATACCAAAAAAAGATTTGGATTAGAATACTCATTGATCGGTTTATTATCACAAGCAATTATGCACACGGTATCTTGTACAGAGTTTTCCTCGATGTCTTTTTTCAACGTTTTATCATCCATTTGCACATTCATTCATTCATTTTGAAAGATGTTCAGCTAACGTCATGAGATGAAATTTTCATACCGTTAACATCTAAGATAGCACTACAACACAAACAATGGTAGATAAAAATATCAATGCCTTGTTACTATACGTCACACTTATCGGTATAAGTATTGTGGTGTTCGGCTCAGATGTATTGATCTGAGGGTTAAAAATATAAGTTGCCCTTCCATTTTCAACTGCTTCTACCTCAGTGGAAATTCCCATTGTTACCCAGGAGTACTCTGGGACATCGTCCTCAAGTAACTTGTTGATTGTTGATTGATTCATTATAACATATCGATGGAGTAGATTGTTTGGACTAAGTTATTGAACTCCATCAGAAACCTTTGTCTTTCGAACTGTCAAAATATCCTTTAGTTGACTTCTTTATGGAATCTGACAACCAACAAAAATAATTGTTAGAGAATTACATAGATCATCTAATTCTAATGGCAAGGTAGCAACTATGTTAATCACATTTTGAGAAAAGCTTATGCAGCTGCCTCTTAAAGGTGATTGAGGTGTACTTGTTGAATGAGCGGACGAATATAATTTCACAATCTAACTGTTGTGGTGCTAGAGACCAATAAGTCTTTACTCAGGAATGGTTAGTCCTTGTAATTGCTATGGCACATCTCTCATTAATACTTTATTGGCAGCTGAAAACTTGCGTACTTTCCTTTCACCAAAGATTATCAACACTTCGTAAAAATATCAGTGTACCGAAGATTATCTTTTTTTATCAATAGTTATATGCCAGCTTGCTCCATAGAGAAATATAATGTTTACGCAAGCAAACAATTGATCATCCATTGATGATTTTATATTCCTATCTATAATAAAAAATTTGCATTAATCTTGTTAGATTAAGTATTAAGTGGATCTAGGTGTGCCTAAAGAACTGATCCACTCATACTCCCACACCCACACCTACCGTTTGTCACAAAGCACCCTACATCCACACTCCATATTCAAAATCACTCTACACCTCACAAGCAAATTCACACCCACGCCTAGCCACAGCTAAACCCACACCTACCACATCTCATACAGTCACACTTACATTCACCACACGCCATACACTCACATTCATACCCAGATTAAAAAGCAGGTAACTCTTGAAGCTAATCATCGCATCTCCAAAGAATCTGCTGTTTTTACTTTTTTTCTCAGCGTGTTTTAATTTTTGCCGATTAAACACACCTTTCCTCTAACTGCGCCAATATCTGTCAAAAAAAGCCCAACTATAAAGATAAAAATATTTTATTACCATGTCTCTTTCGTCAACAATAATCTTATCGTTGCTCTCTTCAAGCTTGTCTCTTCAATGATGAAGTAATCTATAAAGGGAGGCGACTTCAGCTGCATTTTCAGCGATTTTTGACTTTTATAATATTTCAATTCAACTGCTATACGTAAGTAAGTCTAAAGTCCAATATCAGGTAGGGGATCCATCAAAAGAGAGGAAATCAAGAAGCTGCGTATCAGGAACATGTAAATATGGGTAGGGATAGGAGTGACGGCTTCAGTGATGATCACAATGAAGAGAACACTCGCAATCGCGACGTGGCATCAATCCCACAGTCACACTCAGACATGTAAAGGCACAAACACGCGTGTGGGCGTAGATGTGGTTGCTAGTCTTGACTCAACTTACATAAGCACCCGGACCCTCATAGCCACAGCTACATCGGCACCACACCCACGCTCACATCCATCCTCGTACTCACACTCAATAGGAACGAGACTTGATATCTCTTTTTCAATCACCGATTCGAATCTGCAAAGCTGTCAAAAATCTCCTCATAGCTTTTGAATTGATAGATGAATATCAGTGATTCTTTTATAAAAGCCAAACATTATCTAGACATGGCTTTTAAATATTTAAAAGAACGAACAACTGAGTTCAAATTAAAATACAGTTTCTCTTTAAGTTTCAATTTCGCTTGTCATGATATACTGATAACGAAAATTTTTGTTTTTATTATTTTATTTCAGAGTAGCAGTACTTGAATCCATGCTAGTAGTTTACCAGAAATACGAAACTAATATGCCGCGTATTCAGATATCCATATCTATTGCAATATTTTCACAACCGGTATACCTTCATTTGTCTATAGTAAGAGATGTATCTCCGAGAATTTTAGACAGACAAATAAGTATCGATGAAAGTTTTCGAGCATCTTGAGAATTCATTTGCATAATCTTCAGTAAATCATAACTAGTATAGTGTGGTTTAGTGGTTATATCGCATATTAGTACGCACACTGAATTTGCTTTAGCTCTATAATAGCAGAGCCGTTTTGAACCGAATTCAGATCGTATATAGTCACGGTATGAAATTACGAAAGCGGAAATTTTCGACTCATAAAATCTTTACCTTCGTAGGTTATCCAATTCGTAGTGAAATAGAATTGCTCGTGTCATTTTACTTTGCTGTGCGCAGTCGAATAGCCACACGATTTTGTAAGCATCAAATATGATTCATACGATAATAAATGCAGTGAACAAACAGAATGAAGAAAAAGACGATCTTCGTAGGACTCGAGCCCAAACCTCCTGCTATCCGCGCGAATGTCCTAATCCACTTAAACTAGAAAGCAAATCTTAATCTTGATATAGCGTCACACGTATCATTATTGACGCTAACAGATTTTTGTTGTTGATCTAGATTTATTGGGTGCAATGTGAGTGTGAGTAAGAGTTACGGCAAAAGCTATGCAGATGTTGCCCCTCTAAAGAAAGAACATAAGACACATAAAAAAAAAGGGAATAATATATTTGTTCACCTTAAATGGCTCAAGAGAGAAAAACTAAACTACTGTAGTAAATAATTAGGCGTCTGAGTCAGTTTTGTAGAAGTCATATATATTTCGAAGAACATGATGACTGCAAGTTAAAAGAGCAAGTTTTGATGGCGCCCCATTCCTGCTACACCTCTCTCCATTACAGATCGTAATAACGGAGAACAGCAGATATCACATTTTCTAGGTTTTTTTTGCAACATGGATGACATTATAATTTTGAAAAATAATAAATATTACTATTTGTGCATTGATTAATTGAAATGATAGTGCTTGAGGCCTGCTGTAAATATCATGAACATGTAAAACAAACATATTTGTCAATTAACTCAATGATTATAATAATAAGAATATTAAATTAACAAAAAAATAAGAATAATAAAAAATAATGCGAGAATAGCAACAATGGAAACAAAAAGATAGAGAACCAATAGAAGCATTTAAAGATTCTTTTTGAAATGCAAAGATTAGAGAAGTCGTTACTCTGAATATCAATTATCCTGCAAAGCAGCTATAATATACGAGAGACCGATCACTTTATGGATTACATCTTATTTTAATTAGGCTAGAGATTATATATGAGTTCTATATTTTTACCATAAAGGGAGCTGCGCTAACAGACTTTTTCATGAAACAGAAGTAACAAAAATGACTTTTTTGGAGCCAGAGATCTCAATACTCATCTTGTTGCAAGCACATTTTCTTTTCAGGCGCTAACACAGGCCTTTTTGTCATTTTCGACTCCTTAATTTCAAATTTCAGACATTTTCAAACACGTGGAAGCGATACTAACACATTGATCAGACTACAGATAATTCTATAAGAATATTCAGCTGGACAAGGCGAGTACGCTGAATGTTGATGATATCAGATATCATGGGGATATAAAGCATATTTTGGACATGCTCAGAATATGCATTTTCCGCAGGGATTACCGAATAGGAGAATCTACATTTCAATATCTTTTAGAATAATGGGTTGTTTCATTCTGCTCCTTAGCGTGCTGTCAACGAATCGTTTCTCGCACCTAGTACTTCTAATATCCTATCTTCAATGCAACTCATTCTTTCAGTAGAGGGTTAGCAGCGTTTGCGCTGCGTTACTTGTATGAGTATGTGTCTATCTGTGGCGAAATGTTACTGCTACTTTACATCATCCAATGCTCTTTGAATATTATTCCATCCTATATTCTAATTAATCATATCGTATTACCAGATGCATTTGCTGATCATTTTAATGTATTTTTTTTCAGATTACTTCGTTTGTTTAGGTATAATAATTGATCTAACAAAGTGAAAACAAAAATGAACGATTCATTATTAATGAAAGTACGTGACATGCAAACAGAATTGACAACGATCCGTCAAGATATTCATGCTCATCCAGAAATGGCCATGGAAGAAGAACGAACAGCAGCTCTTGTCGCTTCTAAACTCAAAGAATGGGGTTTAATGGTTACTGAAGGTGTTGGTGGATTCGGTGTTGTTGGTACATTGAAGAGTCTTCAGTCGGGTGATCGTTCTATTGGCCTTCGTGCCGACATGGATGCTTTGCAATTGATTGAAAAGTGCGATGTACCGTATGTTTCGACAAAAGTTGGTACAATGCACGCCTGTGGTCATGATGGACACACTGCTATGCTGCTTGGTGCTGCGAAGTATTTAGCCGAACATCGGGACTCATTCTGTGGAACTGTTCAATTTATCTTTCAACCAGCCGAAGAAGGACTTAAAGGTGCCATTGCTATGATTAACGATAATCTGTTCGAACGATTTCCTGTTGATGCTATTTATGGTTTGCATAATGGTCCAGAACAAATAGGAACATTCTCTATACGACCAGGCCCTCTAATGGCAGCATCCGATCGTTGGTATGTAACATTTCGAGGTACTGGTGGACATGGTGGAGCCGCACCACATCTTGCAACTGATATTACAGTATTACAAGCACAATTCATTATGGCGCTACAAACCATTGTTAGTCGTAATATCAATCCGACTGATCCAGCAGTGGTTAGTGTTGGTGCCATCCAGGGTGGCTCTTTTCTATCAGCTAATGTTATGCCATCTGAAATACGTATTGGAGGTACTGCACGAAGTTTCACTAAACCTGTTCGTGATCTTATCGAACGACGTATCAATGAATTAGCAAACAATCTAGCTACGACGTTTGGCTGTACGGCTCATGTAGAGTATAGTCGAGGTGGAGTCCCTCTTGTTAATCATGATGAGCAAACAAAACGAGCGATTAAAGCTGCTGAAGCCGTCGTGGGTACGGCAAATGTCAACAAAAACTCACAGCCTTGGATGGGTGCAGAGGATTTTGCTTTCATGCTTTTGCAACGACCTGGTGCTTTTATCCTCATGGGTATCAATGATGAAACAGTATTCGTTAAGTTGCATTCGCCTGATTATAACTTTAATGATGAGGCAATCCCATTTGGTGTCGCCTATTGGATAAGCCTTGTCCAGCAAGAACTCAACCATTGACTATTATCTTTATTTTTGCCCCATAGAATTATAAAATAAAAAAGAACAGTAGTTTTTTAATACTTTTAGGTTATTTTAAATCACTATCCCTCTGTACGACAGAGATTTGCTTAGTAGTTTTGTGATTATTAGTTAAATTTTAACGAAAATGTACGGATGATTAGCCTTTGGTATTATTTTTGACAACATCATATGAACTTTTCCTTATACCCAAGACAAACTTATGTCTGAAACTTTCTCTTTCTAGTAGTATTTAGATGGAATACCCTCTTACACTAGGGTACATGCTATCATATGTCGAAAGTTTATAAAATGTGTCTACGACGATTGCATATAATGAAAAGCGTACGTAAATTTTTCTAGCCTTCAAAGATTAATGTCTCTATTTATTAGAAATATTTCAAAATAAAAGAAGAGTATTTGTTTTTCGAATAGTTCTCAAACAGAAACAGTTATTGATCTGCTGTTCTTAGCATTAGAAAGAGGCTGACATTATATATCTTTCTATTTAATAGTCAATAAAGCCAGCTTACAAGTCTGATCGACCGTCAGAGAAACTCAAATTAGCATCTAATGTTCTTTGAAAAAATATATAGAATTTCATTTATATGGAGTGAATTATATGAACCTACTCAACATTTAAAATTCTGAACCAATCGAAAACTATTCCTTAGTGAAGTATAGTAATTACTGTCGACTATCTTCCTTCTTTTTTCTTTTGAACAAGATAGAATATTTGTTCACCATTGTTTTGTGTAATTACATTCTCATTGGTAGGTATTTGCTGCACTGCTAAATTCTAGAAAAATTAAGAAACTGAATAAATGATTTCTTTTATTTTTGAATCAATTGGAAAAAATTATAGGATGAAGTCCGTGTCGCATATTGAACTATCCATAGAAACTCATCTGATACTCAATAATATTATCAGATGACTATTATGATATGAAAGAAAGATTAAATTAACATGAATTCTTCGAGGTAATCCAATGAATAATTATCTAACTACAATGGAATAGGAGTCTTTTGCTGTGCTTGTTTTTGTTTCCAGACGTCTTGTATTCTTTGTTTAATTAATCGCTGTTTTTCTTCTGTAATTTGAAATTTAGTATGGTTTGTATTTAAACTTAAACTTAAATGGTTTCTCATACCATGTACCCTGGCTCGATTATGATATGGCTCTATTTTTAATTGTCGACTATTAAATATACCAGCAGCCATACTAAATGTACTTAATGCACTAATTAAAATATCATCGCGTAGTAACCGATTAAATGTTTCTGATGTTCGACCGTTTAAGAAAAATGATACATGACAGCGTGTTTCAGGCAAAGCTTGTTTTAAATCGATGAGTATATCATGAAAATCATCTATTACACCTTCACTATAAATTGTGATCAAATACTTGTTTTGTAATTCAGTAGGTAATGTATTAATTATAAAAATTAACAGTGATGCATAAGCTGAAATCGCTATATAACGAAATAAATCACCTGATATTATACAACCTCGATTATCTCGCTTGACAACATCACCATGACGTATGTGTACATCACTCAATAAAACATCATGCACATCAATTGATGAGCATTGAATAGATTGAAAAACATCGATGTTAACATTCTTATCTTCTTCAGAAACAGTCATACTGTTGTTATTAATGGTTGTATTTGGTGTAATATATTGGAAATAATCAATTGGGAAATAATTAGACAAAATGGAAATACCTGACCAAACACCAGTACGTTCATTGTACAATTTCCTATGCTGCAGCCACCATCGAATTTCAAAAACGACACCTATTTCCATTATTGACGAGGTGATAGTAAAAGTTTGACTAGAATAAAATGTAAAAACGATATTATTATTCCATTTGCTACTAGTATCTTGAAGATTAGTTATGAAATGATCGAATTTTGTTTTGAAATAAGACTTAATTGTAAACGGTTGTTTGCCATTATGATGTTGATCAAATGTTTGATTCGCTATTAAATTATATTGAAATATATTTCTTTTAACCAATGAATTGTGTGGATATGCACGATAAGCTGAATAAGGAATTTCCCAATCGAAAAATTGTCAACATTTTTCTCTATTCTCTATCTATATTTTTTTCATCACCCGAATGTTCTGCAGTCCAATCTAGATGTATTAATGTCAAATTCAATTTATATGCTACATTAAAAACATCTAAGCACCACATTAACTCTGATCCAGTACCATGTATACTACGACCTACTGATGCACTATTTAATAAGAAATAACGACCATGTTCACAATCAATAGTGGATGATATGTCAACAACATTGAGAATTTATTCTTTAATTTAGAAAAATAACGATTGATTGCTTGTTCAATATCAGGATGACATCGCGTGTCGTCCAACATACAGTCATCCAATAAGTTGTGAAACGAAGATAGATATAAAATATCAGAATGTGAAGTGTGTATTAGGGTTATTTTAACAAAGAAAAACAGCCATACTATACAACTGAAAACGAATAGAAATATGCAGCAAAAACGAGTACTTTGCTTGGATATAAGTCGAAGGAAAGTAAATAACAGACGTTGCACAAAAGAGATACACATGCATAGAATTGTATACATCAACAATAGAAGAAATATTTCATAAATATAAAACCTACTATACACATCGGATTATCTTTTTAAAGAAATAAAAAGTTTTTTGATGATTTTTGTGTCTAATTATCAATCTCAAGATTATGGTGAACTGAGCAATGTATTTCAACGTTTTCCTATCATGAATAGAAAAGAAACTGGATGAACTACATAAAATAAAATTAGTTTCACGTAGCATCAGAAATAGCTGCGGACTTACAAGAAAAAAATAAACATATGCCGAGGAAATAGAAATTGACTTACAATATTATTGCACAATAATTGTTGCATTCGAAAAAGAAGATGGTGAAATGACTATTATTCATCATTCGAAACGGATGAGTACAAAGAAAAGAAACTATGGATCGACTGGGATTCGAATCAAGATAGTATCAAAACTAGTAACTAGCCAGACACTTTTATCAACTAAACTATCAAGACAACGTGTCAATTCCAATACAAATTTAATGTGAACATTTACTTTAATCTTTTACAGTCATATAACGAATAGAGATTTCGTTGTACAAAAACTAATTCTGATCGACATCGATAGTAGAGCATTTGAAATATGCCTGCTTAGTGTCGTTGAATTAAATTGTATATAATTATATATAAATATGTATGACAGGACTTTTTTTTTTTATTATTCGTAAAAAATATGGTAAAACAGCTATTACTCATTATCGAAATGAATGAACGCAAAGAAAAGAAAATGAGTCTCGACTGGAATTCAAACTTAGATAGTATCACAACGAATAACTAGCCAGGCACTTCTACCTGGTAAGCCATTGAGACATAGTCTGAATACATATTCACATTATTTGTAAGCATTAATTTTAAAATTTTCGAATTATGAATAATATCCGATTTAACGTCTTTTATTCGAATAGGTTGAATTCACTTTTCTTATTACACACTTTAATACTTATTAGTCGTTGTGTGAAAAAAACAGATTGTAAATGATATAAACTATGTAGCTGGTAAAACCGATTACATTCGAACATAATAAAAAATACGAGCAGCGACAACTTAAATATTGAATCCTGTAAAAAGAAGCAAACGCAAGCATCTTCCTAAACGACAGCAGCGCGAATCACCTATATGAAATTAAATACTGAAAACTTATATGCACTTATTTGTGCTTCTTGTAATTGAATCCAAGACTTTTTGATGTTTTAAATATGCTCCGTATACATGGAGAAAAAAATCCACTCATACAAATAAAGAAGAAATAACGTATAAAAGAAGCGAAGATCGGTTAGTAAGATCGGATCACAGGGCGAATTAAATTTCTTACAAAATCATCGGGACCATAAAAGATGCTTCTAAGATAGATGGTATTTAGTTCGATAGATAGGTAGATAGATGGACAAATAGATAGATGGAAAATCAAGTATAGGCACTGAGTTAGATGGGTAATTAACCAGAGAAGCAAAT